GAAAACTAAGGAGAGCATCAAAAAGGAACTGCCAAGAAAACCGAAACAAACAACCTGAGAGGGAAGGAGGGAGGAAGGAAATAAAATGAGCAGCAGAAGAATGGAAGCGTTCTGACTCCTCATGCAGCTGTGTGGGTGCTGTGAGGCCCTCCTTGGGCTGGAATCCACCCAAGCTGAGTCCCAGTGCTGGACGATGGGTCACAGAACCTGACCTGTAGCCCATCCAAGTGAGCATTGTTTCTGGGCCTGCTGGTGATGTAGATAGGCAGAGAGGGAAGGCCTCTCCCAAGGCAATGGCAGTAAATCTCCTGGGAAGTAATAGCCCTGACCTCCTGGAGAACTGGTGCCAGTCCTAACAGACCCTGAGGGGGCTGGACCAACCCCTCCAACAGAAGCTCCTGCAGAAACAAAAGTCAGGAAAGGAATTTCAAAGAAGACCATCACCACTCCCAACCCCCTTGGTAACCTCCCTAGCAACAGACTTTTACCTAGGTTGAAGCTCCGCATGGGCGCAGGTTGGAGAAACCCTATAAAGGCCACCTGAACGAAGGAAGGGCGCACATATGCTGCCTGAGCTCATGTGCTGCCTGCGCACGTGTGGCCGAGCACATGTGTCGCCCGCATCTCCCCTCTTGAGATGTGTACTTTCTGTCTAATGCTAGGATTTGTGTAGGGGCTCTCTCTGTCCTTGGAGAAGCCCAGGCTTTCTCTTCAGCAGGTTACTCTCCACTCTCTCCCACTTTCTCTCCCTCCTTCCTTTCAAAACCTCCAAAGAAAAACTGTGTAATTTCACTGCTTGTCTACTCCTGAAATTCCTTTCTGTGAGGCGAGACAAGAACCCAGTAACCCTGGGTCCCGGGTGGCAGAGGCGGATGGGGAGAAAGTGACCGTCTTTCTCTTCCCCACTTCACATGAGCCAACCGTGGGGCCCACCGACATCACTGGGATTTTCAGAACTGGGGTCTGCATACCCACTCTTCAGGTGAGCTTGGTCTTCCTGGGCCCCTGACCTCCTGACGGGGAATTTCCTCTCGTGCTTCTGAGAGCCTTCTCCCAAGCCATTTTCCAGCGGTGGCCTGCCTTCCTTGCGGCCTCATGTGCCAGCAGCAACAGAACATTTCTCGAATCTGTCCTTGTATGCCAGGCACAGTTCCTAGCACGTCACATAACAAGCCTGGAGAGCCCAGAAAAGATCCCTAGAGGAGGGGCCGGGGAGCAAGAGAGGCCCCGTGACCCCTGACAGCGGGATCACATCGTGATGGCAGGAGCCTTGAGACCTGCGTTGGGCTGTTGGGCTTCCTGACCTTATTGTCTTCTCTTCACTGCCACCCGCTGTGCCCCACCCGAGGGTGCAGCCTGCAGCAGTGTGGGGAGTCAGGCTGCCTGCCCAGCAGTGGGCACCCTCCCAGTTCCAGGCTCCATGACCACTCTTGTGTCCACGACCTCAGGCAGAGCGGGCCCTCGGTGAAAACCTCATGCTGTCTGTTCGGACTGGCCTGTTTGCCGGACACGAGGATGCTGCTGTATCTGATCTCAGTTTCTCTATCCAGTCCTGGACCCAAACTGTTTATTTAGCACTTACTTAGTGCCTGCAGGACACGGCACTAGGCACTGAGGGCTGAGCACGCAGGGGCAGGAAACTGAAAGACAGAGATGTGGCTAGGGTGGGATGGCGAGGGAGACGGTTCTGAGAACTCGGCTCTTAGCAGGCAGGAACTCCACTGCCCCAGCTCTTCTCCTGTGCACGCTGGCCTCCTGCCAGGGCAAACAGGCAGCCTCCTGCTGCTGCTTCTTGCACAGCTGGCACCCCACAGGGCACCACAGAGAGCCTCATTCCTCCAGGGGTTGTGGTGGGTGGAGGTGGGGCGGGGGGGGGGGGGAGGGTGCTCTGCTCCCAGCTCCCAGGCAGCAGAGAGACAGAGCTGGTGCCTGGGCTCCTCCTTCCTGAGTCTGGAACGTCATTAAGCAGCCAGTGAGGCAGCCCAAGGCCCTGGGGAACAAACGGAAGCCAGTGATGTGCCCTTGGACGCTCACCGGGAAGGCCTGCTCTTCATGTGCTTGGGCAGCTCCTTGGGGTGACACAAGATACACCCATCCAGAATGGCGTCCTTGGTTTCTGTTGCAAAGAAGACACCGTTGGCTAGAAATCGGCGCTGGAGGGCCAGATCGGGCCAGAGAGACAGTACGGCGAGTAAGGTGCTTGCTGTGCACGTGGCCAAATGTGGTTCCATCTCAGGCGTGATGCCTGAGCACACAGCTAGGAGTCAGCCCCAAGCCAAACCAAAGCCAACAAAACAAGGAAAGAAAGAAAGGAACATTGGAGGGAAATTCTCCCCTCTCCTCACCCAGACCAGGGGGGAAGAGAAACAAAAAGGTGTGTAAATTGTTTCTTAAGGGCCCCTACATAGCACTGTAGCATTGTCTTCCTGTTGTTCATCGCTTTGCTTGAGTGGGCCCAATAACGTCCCATTGTGAGTCTTGTTGTTACTGATTTTGGCATATCGAATACACCACAGGGAGCTTGCCAGTGTCTGTCCTGCGGGTGGGATATTCTCGGTAGCTTGCTGGGCTCTCTGAGAGGGATGGAGGAATTGAACCCGGGTCGGCTGCATGCAAGGCAAACACCCTGCCCGCTGTGCTATTGCTCCAGCCTTTAATACAGACTTTATACCAGACTTTAATACATGCTATTCCATGGATTCCATGTCAGTGATCCTGCAGAGTGGGGCTCTCCCTGGGGGAGGGGGATCAGGGACACACACGGCCTTCACAGACGCACAGACACCACACAGTGAGGTGCCCCAGGCTGCCTCGCCGCTCCAGCCCCCTCCTTCACGTGGATTTTGTTCTTCCGCCCTCTTAGATTCCAGGACATCTTCTTGTTTGTGTTAGTCCCAGAGGAAGTCGCCCTCTGGCCCTCCTGTGGCAACAGCGGGCAGCAACATCCTCCGGGGCCGCCTGGGATTCTCTGACGAGCTTCTCTTAATTACTCCCAGGCGGGAGCGTTTCCGGGAGAGGGCCCTGGTGCTGTGGCAGAGCTTGCTGGCTGGAAACTACAGCTTTTCTCCCTCAGTCTGGGACTCCAGCCCCTCGGCCTCCCTCCCTGCCCACTCTGGCTCTGCTGGCGAGCAGCTTGCCCCCACTGCCATCCTGCATGCGGGCACCACGTGAGGGGCCACACAGGGGCCACACACAGTGGCCCTTCCAGCCACAGCCTCTTCCCCCACCCCTCTCCATCCGGGCTGCTAAGCCAGCCGAGTACAGTTCAGAAAGGCATGTGTGAATCTCTCTTGAGGACCTGGTGCTGCTCTGAGGGGCTGCAAATAGGTGGCAAAGCAACACGCAAAAGCTTGGCCTTCATAAGTTCAGAGGGCCGAGGCTGAGGGAGAAAGCGGACAGGAAGAGAAATCCACAGACACAAAGGAGGCAGTGAAGGGATTGTGAGAGAGCCCTAAAACATCCGGGGCTGGGGATGTAGCTCGGTGGGAGAGCATTTGCCTGGCATGGGGAAGGTCTCAGGTTCAATCCTTGGCACAACAAACAAACAAACAAGCATAAGACCCACCCAACACAAGAAATTTCAGAGGCTGAGGGAGCCACGGCTTTCAGCTTGACTCCTTCTCCCTCTTACAAATGCAAGAAGTAAAGCCAATGGGGAGTCATTATTCGCACTAAAGGTCCTGGGTAATAATAATCGTTTCCAAATTCATCATTAGGAGTGAAGCACTGTTCTTCTTGCTTTCTATATCCTAATTTAGTGAACCCTACAACTCTTTGAGGTAGGTGCTACTGTACTCTCATTTTATTTAATCAATGGAATTAAGTTATTGGGTGTTTAGTTACTGTACTGTCTTCTCTTTAATGTGCTCTGGAATGGAAACTGTGTCTATTGGTTGGTATTTTCGAGAAGCCTTTTTCTTTTTCTTTTTTAATGCTTTCTAAATTACATTATATTTTTCCATCTTTTTTTAAAAAAAAATTTGTTAATGTATCACCATGAAGTACAGTTACAGACTTACAAACTTTTGCGCTTACATTTCAGTCACACAATGATCGAGTACTCAGCCCTCCACCATTCTCCACCACCAGTGTTCCCAGTGCTCCCGCCCCTCCCACCCTGCCTCTGTGGCAGGCATATTCCCTTTTGCTCTCTCTCTCTCCTTTTGGGTGTTGTGGTTTGCAATACAGGTATTAAGTGGCCATCATGTTTGGCTTATAGTCTACTTTCAGCGCACATCTCCCATCCTGAGTGGGCTTTCCAAGCGCCCTTTACTTGGTGGCCCCTTCTCTATCTGAGCTGCCTTTTCTCCCAGCATGTGAAGCCGGCTCCCAAGCCGTGGAGCAATCCTCCTGGTCCTTATCGAGAAAGCTTCTTGAAGCAAATACTCAAAGGCCTGCTTATAAAAACTGTGAACCTCGGTTATTCAGAGAGAAGTTAGCAAAAACCTCAATTAATCAGTGATTAAACGTCAATTAAAAGTTCTTGACTACCACAAAACACAAGGTAGTAAGCAATAAAGGGAGTCCTGCATTTCCTAAGAAAGAGCCAATGAAGAAAGAAAGAACTGGGTGCAAGAAATTTGATCAGAGAATCAGGAGAAGCCTGTCTCCTACCCTTTTTCTATCAAGTTTCCTATATTTGATGGCCCCAGTTTGTTAGATCGTTCAAGTCTTCAAATGCCACTTCCCGAAGCAACTAACAAATATCCTACATGAGTTGGATTAAAATTTTTAGAATTTTTAGAGTAAAATTTTTAGTCTTCTACTACAGCCTCAGTCAATCAAAACCTTCCATTTCCCAAAATATTCCCAACCCATACACATGGCGCGTGCACATGCACGCACACACACACACACACACACACACACACACACGCACACACATACACACACTCAGATTCATACTCATATTCTCACCTGCAACCCTAGTCAACCAAGAGTCTTCTTTAATTCTACTACAGGAATTTCAGAATAAATAAGGAATCAGTATAATTACTTACCAACCACCGCCAGATTATGCTCCGAGCCACAAGAGACCTGCGAGAGAAAACAAGTTCTATAAGAAAAGGCAAATACATAGCTCCAGACAATGTCACTTGTGATCGCAGCTCTCTCTTGCATGATACCAACATCCAATCTGGGCAAATTTCAGGAAGTAAACAGAAAGTTTCACCATCTAGTAAAGGTAACACTGTAATTACAATATGCATATACATATAGAAAGAGGGATTAACTACATTGCCTGGAAATACATCAAAATGCTAAAGTAGTCATCTTTTAGGCAATGATACAAGTGCTTTTTTAGAAAATCCTTTCTTTCCTTTCTACTTTTTTTGGGGGGGGAGGAGGGGAGTATTTTTCAAAATTCCTACAATGTGGCTAATAACATGGAGACCTAAAAACATACCAAGAACAGCTTTTGAAAACTGAACTCAAAAGACCATCACTCTGGAGTAATGCCTGCCTTTGCCTCATCTACTCACTCTCACTTCTGCCTTCCAGACACAGGAACTACCTGCAGTTCGAGGAAGGCAGCACGCTCTCTCAAACCTCTTTGGCTCATGCAGTGCCTTGGCTCAGAATGCCTTCCTCCACTGCCTACCCAGAAAATTTACCCACCCTTGAAAGGTCTCGAGCATCTGAAATTTGATTGTTGTTGCTTCTAGACTGATGAACACTCCCTCGTGAGGCAACCTGGATGTACCTCCCTGGTAGTAACTATCCTGTTACCTTTCCCGTTGTTTCCTGTCTCCTCACTAGACTACCTGTGTCTTGAGAATATAACCGAGTCTCATTCACTTGATATGGCACAGATGGATCACACCAGGCCTGGGACTCAGTTAACAGCTGCTAAATGAGGGGGTGAGTGAAAGAATTCGTACACGAAAGAACAAATGCCTCACGCGTAAGACAATTATTTGCGGTTCCCAGCCCAGTGTTTCCACCTCGGGAACAACACTGCTAGCCTTTCAATCTCTGTATGTTCGCACTGTTCCCAGGAGAAGTGGCAGGCGATAGAAAAGCATCAGCAGTTCCTCAGGAACCAATAAAAAGAAAGCTAGACTCTGGAGAAGCACCCAATAATCGTTCTCAGGCCGCTTACTTGAGCTCCTGGCAAGAGCAAGATTTCAGGTACCCAGAAAATGCCAACACAGGAAGAGCCCTGGAGATCACCTGGCCCAATCTGCTGTGCACCGTTTGAGGAGAACCCTGAGGCTTGGAAAGAGGAAAGAATTTGTCCTGAGTGCTAGAGCAAGTGTGTATCAAACCTAGGACTCCAGCCAATCTGGCAGAGTTGAGCTTTAGACTTACTGTGTTCCAGCACTGGTTCCCAGGCCAACTCTCCTCCATTGGCATCCCCAGCCACCCCCCACCCCCTAAACCCCAACACAGACTGCCACCTTGACAGGTACATGTTTAAGTTTGGTTGTTGTGGTCTGTATCTCCTGCTTTCAATGCTGTTGGCTCTGCAGTTTGGACACAGAGCTATCCTACTCCTCTCCTCAGGGACCTGAGGCCTTGGGCCCCTGGTCCCCTCATTACTTCCTGCCCACCTCTTCTTACTGCCCTTGCCATTTATTTCCTTCTCTGTCCTTTCTTAGAAGGGACATGCAAAAACAAGCACAGGTCTCTGGCAATTAAGGTAAGACTCGCTGAACCAGTGACATGGTGATAAGTTAGAGGCTTCCTTTCTGGGGGCTCGCTCAGCTCCCACAGGTAGCTAAGTGGACTCCCTCACTGCATCCTGGAAAGAAGGGCCCAGATCACCAATCCAGAAAAATCTTTCCCGATTGTCCAGGCTCTGGGCTCCCTGGAAACAAGCTCTGTACCAGTTTTACCACGTCTCTCTGGGCCATCCACTGAGCACACGTTCATTAGATGCTTCCTGGTTAAACTGAGATGCTGAGAAGGGTTCGCCGGCACTGTCATAAGAAGCTGCTTAGATGGAAGAGCTGCAGAAAACTCAGATGGTGGAAGGCTAATGTAAACGGTGGCGGTGCTGTCCGATGGACCGTTCTGTAGTCTCAGAAAACGATGCTGACGATAATGGGAAACGACTCAGTGTGAATGGAAAAGCTACCTAAAATTATAAATGTAATCTGATAGCAACTCTATAATAAATCCTGACTTCTCTGGGGAGACTGGAGCATAGCACAAAGTGGTGGTTAGCACCAAGATATAAAGGAGAGAGCTCAGGCAGATAGCCGGGGGGTCTGTCCCCAGTACCACCAACAGGTGTGGCCCTGGAAGCTCCCTATACCACTGGACGCCAGCAATGGACCACTAAGTCCCTCTCACCAGCTGAGCATCATAAGGAGAGAGACGCCCCTCCCCCGCCACCACCAGTGGATCCCCTGAAAACTGCCGAAGATGGTCTCTATGGGGGGAGGGGAAACAAAGGAGCGAAGGAGATACATCAAAATGTAACAGTGATTGGCTCTGGAGAAATGCTCAGGAGTTGATATATTATTCTTATTTAAAATTATTCATATACAACCTACTCCCCACTAGAAGTGATGGTGGTGGTGGATTGGGGTTGGGGGGTAGACCCTGGCTGTCTAGAAAATAAATATGTTCTAAAAATATGCTTGGTTCCAGAGTAGTGAGGGGAAAAAAATGGAAGGCACCATTGATAAATTATAAAGATAAATGGATAATGGTGGTAGGTTATAGGTGGTTTTTTTTTTCCTTCCTATTCTTATCTTTCAAATATCTTTTGACCATGATGGCAGCAGTAGAGGTGGGTGGCAGTGAGAGAGGGACAGGAATCAAAGTCACCATATAATGAGGATTCTTACACACCAGGCCTCAAGCCAAGGTACTCTACAACATTAACGCATCTTAATGGGAACAGCAGTCTCTTCAAGGTGGGTGTGACTTTGCTCACTTTAGAGATAAGAAAACTGAGGCTCATACATATTCAACGACTCTCAGCCAGATCAGTGGCAGTAACAGAGCTGAAAGCCAGGTATGCCTGATCTCAAGCTCCTGTTCTGGAGATAGATATGTTGCTAATTTTTGGGGGGATGTGGGGGGGGGGGTCAAACTAGTGATGCACAGGGATTACTCCTGGCTCATATACCCAGGAATTACTCCTGGTGGTGCTTGGGGGACCATATGGGATGTTGGGAATCGAATTCGGGTACGTTTGTCTTTTAAACGTACACACACACACACACACACACATAGGGTTATTTCATTTTACAAAACGCAGACCAAGATAGGGCTCCCTCTGATTGCCAGGCCTTCCCAGCAGGGCTGCGAGCTACAGGGCTGACCAACCCTGGAGGACCAGGGACTCCTCCTGGGAGCCAGTCGCTGACGAGGGCCTGTATCGGACAGCAGATGCTGCTCTGAATTAATGAGCGAGACACTGATGAATGGACTTCGTCAAGGCAACGTGGAGCTTGCAGCACCAAGCTCCCCCACCGCTGCTCGCTGGCTGTGCATTGGCGCAGAGGTCAAGAGTCTGAACACCACAGGCCACAAAATCCCAGAGCTACATTCCTTCAACAAGATTGTATCAATGGCTGTTTGCTTCATATTGCTCCTGTCAGCATCTACCCCATACCCAGCTGCAGGCGGCTTTTGAGAAGACTCCGCTAACGATGGCAGGGTGCCCAGAAGAGAAGGACCGAGAGCCAGGAGGCTGGGGATGTCATCCTCCTCCTGCTCCTCCTCCTCCTCCTCCTCCTCCTCTTCCTCCTCCTCCTGGTTCTGGGTCTGAAACCTTGAAGGAATTTTACCTTCCAGCCTCCGTGTTCTCGGGGGGTGGGAAAGAGAAAAATGGCCTGTCTTATCTGCTTTAGAGGACAAATGAGATCATTCATGGCTCGCAGTCATGCCTCTCACCTGCTCTACATACAAATTCCATTGCAGGGGCTGGAGCTATAGCACAGCGGGTAGGTCGTCTTCCTAGCATGCGACAGACACGGGTTCAATTCCCAGCATCCCATATGGTCCCCCGAGCACCACTGGGAGTAATTCCTGAGTGCAGAGCCAGGAGTAAACCCTGAGCATTGCTGGACGTGACTCAAAAAAAAAAATAAGAAAAACAATAAAAAGAAAAAGAAAAAACAAATTCCATTGGGTCTGCCAGGGTCTTAAGGGCCCTTCCAGCAGAGGGCAGAGGGAAAGCAAAGTTTCAAGTGCCTAGCACAGCCGACCAAGACTCGTGTGGAACATTTCCATCTCATTTCCTTCTTCTGTGACTTACGAATCCTGAGTGACACAGTTCCTTCACACCACATTACATTTTCTCTAGGAACATCATAAGATGCCAAGCTTTGAAGCCCGCGCTCCCCCTTGTCTGGAACTTCTGTGCTCCCTGCCTCCCCCCTCCCCACCCCTCCACCCCCAGCCCCCACTGTAAGCCTCTCTAATTTTAAGATGGCTCCAGCATCGCTTCCGGGGAAAGCCTGACTGGCCAAGGGAGAGCCAGCTGCTCCCTCCTGGCTGCCTCCACAGCACGATGCATCATGGCCCTATTCACAAATGAGGTGTCTATTTATGACCTGCACGTGTGCTAAGCACCCTGGCCTCACAGGCACCCGGCCCAGCAGCCCAAGGGCAAGGCCCAGGGGAAGTGGGGAGTGCAAAGAGGAGGGGGCCCAGAGAAATGAGATGCTTTGGAAAGACGTGCACCCACATGACCTCTCCGCCCCGCTGGAGACTTGCCCTGGGTTGCAGAGAGAGCAGGAAGGCGACAGTCGCTTCTCGAGGGTTAAGTGTGGAGATGCTGGGACATCAGAAATACAGAAGGGCTGTCCCCAGCACACAAAAGCACAGCAGGATCCAACCACACAAACCAACAGGCCGCACATAGGCAAAGGGGCCCTTCTGGGGAGCACAGGAGTAAGGGGTAGGGAGTGAAGGTGGCCTTCCTGAGCCGGGCTGCCCAAACAGCAGAGGGTTTGTCTCTGAGCAGCCATCTAGGCCTCGGCAAACACTAGCCTGATCCCCAAACATCAAGGGGATGAGCTCTGCCCGCAACGCTCCAGCCAGGCTAGACGCCATCCTTTCTGTGATCCGTTCTT